TTTCTTTGTTTAAGAAGACAACTAGTAATAAATCCTGTGTCGCGGGGGACTTTACAAACATATGAAATGGTATGAAACGGACACAAAGGACACCCAGACTCAGAACAACACTTTGTGGATCACACAAAGTGTTGTCCCATGGCATCGAACCGACATCGGCATGGCATCGGCGACGTGACCGCTTCATCGTCATTCCTAACGATGGTGCCTAATTCTCATCGAGTAGATAAGACCGTCATAGTTCATCTACACATTAAAAAGTAGTTATTTATTAATTAAAAAGTGAGTGTGTGTAAGTGCATACATGTGAGCATACATGCGTGCGTGCGTCTGTGTGGTTATGTTTATTCGTAGTTTAGATATTTAAGTCATCATCATCAACAGCCTTTAATAGTCCACTGCTGGACATGGGCCTCTCCTCAGAAAGGAGGTTTTGGCCTACTATACCACGCTGGCCAGACGGGTTGGTATAGGTTTTGTATCAAGTTGCCCGCATCGCTGCGGGCAGGCGCTAGGAGGGGTCCGGAGGTCCTAATAACAGCAATTCCCGGATCCCTCCTATTACAGGCGCAGAGTGGCACACCGTGTGGTTTTAGTCGGTCCGATTCCGACATACCACCCCGCCATAAACCCCGGTGGAGTGACGGCCCGAGGGGGTTTCCACACGTTAAAAATAAAAAAGGTTTTATATCAAGTTTTCCTTCTATTTGCAACGCTGTTATGTTTGCCCTCTTGGTCGGTCGGCTCGGTCGGCTCGGTCGGTGACACTGTATTCTTAATCCGTCACCACACGGATTAAATATTTAAATTATATGGATTAAAAATAAATTCATAAAAATCGTTTTCCGTAGACTATAGTCTAGATTTCTTCTAAACCGTCTCTACAAACTAGTAAACCGATAAAAAAACTATGGCTAATCTTAAGTTACCTGTCATTTACCACCATGATTGATCATATTTAAAAAAATCCTCCATTAGCTTGTTATGGTTTTATTTGTATAGATTACGGGACAGGACTGTGGTGTTTATTTGATGCCATGGTCAACTGATGTTTCAATGATGTACCATTACATTTAATGCCAGGGTCGAATCAATAATAGTCAAGTATTTATCTTAAAGAGTGGATACATTGGGGGTTCCATTGAACTATTATTTTTCATTAATTATCTAACTACTATTTTTACATAAATTTAATAAAAATAAACTTACACAAAATCTCTGATATGCCTGTGCCGATCTACAACCGCCCGTTTCCAAGGGCAAACAAACTCATGGTCACTCGGTGGCAATTCACAGATAGATACAATAGCATTATTAAACATATCACAACATTGGTTTGATGTGTGCCAGTATGTCTGTTATTAAGGATTAAGCTTCATTGTTTTTTTTACCTTTTAGGGTAAAAAAAACAATGAAACGGAAACAAGATTAAGAAAAAAAACAAATATAAAGAGAAAATGAAGTGAAACATAAAAAATTTAAAATAATAATAATAAAAACAATTCACGTTTTATTGCGGCTTTAAATTTGTTAATACTTAAGTCTTGAATATTATTTGGCATTTTATTATAAAATCGGACACATTGACCTCGAAACGACTTGTTTATCTTTTGGAGCCTAGATTCAGGTACTACAAATTTATTTCTATTTCTGGTATTTATAGAATGTACATCACTTCTTTTTAAAAAGCTATCTTTGTTTTTATGAACGTATTGCTCATTATGTTTATTTTTTTAAATTTCTGCCTCAATGAACAACGATTGCCTAACTTATAAAGTGCTCGAATCGCTTTCTTTTGGCGAATCGCTTTCTTTTGCAGTACAAAAATAATTTGAATATCGGCAGCATTCCCCCCACAGTAGAATACCGTACGACATTATGCTATGAAAATAACTGAAGTAAACAAGTCGTTCTGTATCAACATCAGTCTAATCTCGATGGTATGATGGCATGGTAGTTTATGAGTCCCAATTTAACTTACTAACCAACTCGACCATGAGATTATTCCAAGGAGGCAATCTATTGTCATAGTTAGGAACATTGTCCGTTTGTTCATTTTAATATATTCAAATGTACATATTTTACATCGGAAATTATGTTATAGACTTGTATGCTTATGGAGTTCCTCTAATTTAGATGCGGTAAATTATATTGGACAGTTTTAAACTAGTAGTAGTGTTTAGTTATGAACTCAATGACAAACAACGTCACAGTCACATATTTCTACATCTACGGAGTGTTTTCTTTTTCCTTTGATACATCTTTAAGCCACATATTCTGCACTTTATTTCTAGACGATTTGCAAAATATGAACGAAATATATTCAGATACAATGGGCGGCCTTATCGCAGCCTGCGATCTCTTCCAGGCAACCTTTAGATGGACTATACTATAAAGTAATATGTAGCATATGGTGCGCATTTACAATTTCCGTATATTAACTAATGTTTCCATACATAATTACACATTCACGAATATACATTTATACACTTACATACATTTGACGATTACATACATTGACGACCGGATGCCGTAGTGGTTTGTGTAACGGACTGCTATTCCAAAGGTCGCGGGTTCGATTCCCGCTCAAGTCAAACATTTGTGTGCATGAACATTTAATGTTTGATTTGGTCTGGGTGTTTCTATGTATAATAAGTATGTATTTACAAAAAAAAAGTATATATGTATTTATATCAGTTGTCTAGTACCCATAGTACAGGCTCTGCTTAGTTTGGGACTAGATGGCGTTGTGTGAATGTTAATAAAAAAAAAAAAAAAAAAAAAAAAAAAAAAAAAAAACATATATATGGGGTCTACCAATAAAAACGTCCTGGTTTAAATATTGAATAAAACACACATTTTTTTATGAAAAATGCATCCGATTGATTTATTTGATAGATAATTTTATGCAATTCATGTTTAAAATAATAAATCGGCCAAATGACCGCCGCGACTCTTTTTGCAGACGGTCACCCGCTCACGCCAATTTTCGATGACGCGGTGCACCATTTCGGCCGGTATGTCGGCTATGGCTTGTCGAATGTTGGTTTTTAGGTCACGAATTGTAGCTGGATTATTGCTGTACACTTTAGATTTTTTAGATTAACGTAACCCTAAAGAAAATAGTCTAAAGGTGTTAAATCACACGATCTTGGTGGCCAACTGATCGGTCCATTTCTCGAAATTAACGACTCACCAAACTTTCCACGCAATAATTCCATGTTCCATGTGCAATAATGTGAGGTGGTGCACCGTCTTGTTGAAAATAAAGGTCGTCTGCATCAATATCATCAAATTCCGGAAAGAAATGTTAGCTTAACATCGAGTTACAGCGAAGCGCTCTTGCTGTAGCGGTAGGAGAACGCGAATTTGCGTAATAAATTTGGACAATTTCCAAGCGTTGGTTTAAAGTGAAACGTGACATGATAAAATGGCAAACCTTACTGAACAATAATGTCAAGAGACGTCAAAGATCCATCATCAAACATGGCCGCTATGAGCTGTCAAAACCAGGTCATCCCTATTGGTAGACCCAATAGATATGAATACATACATAACCATACATACACATACCAATATAGCACATAGTTATTACAGAGATAAATAGTGATCCCTAACTGTTAACTTACCTTAACCTTACTGACTTTGCCTGCCTTATAGCTTCCGGTAATGAGTTCCAGAGGCGTGCTGCTTTCACCGTAAAAGACGTATCGGTAAAAGTTGTGAAGTGTGTTGGAATTCGAGGACTGCTTTGGAGTACTGCTTTTGTGTTATGTAATTTACAACACCATATGTTTACGCAAACCTAAAGTACTAAGTGTCGATGACCTTACCGCTGTCGCTATACAAACTATGTTGTTAATATTAAATGTTTTATTAACAGTACGTAATGATTAATACGGGCAAATTCATTATAATAATGTTATTCGAGCTTTGGCAATTGACAGCATTGATTTAATTATTTAATATTTGATGACTTCCGGGTTCTCAAAAGTAGAGTAGTGTCAGTCAGTTGGTACTAGATTTTGTGTTGTATTGCAACGAGTTCCGCACATTTTATTTTGAAAGTAACAATATTAGTTTTCTTGTGGAGTGTGTGTGTGTGTGTGTGTGTGTATGTGTGTGTGTGTATGTGTGTGTGTGTGTGAAACTAGTGTTTTAATTATATTGATTTATCGAAATTAACATTCATAATGCGGCGAGTGGCCTTTACAGCCGTGGAGTATACTGACATGGACAAAAAAAGGGAAAAATTTATTCATTTTGAGAGGCGCAGGAAAAGTAGTCCGTGTCAGTTGGTCACTGATAATAATAAAAAATTATACTTAGGCATGTAGTTTTTTGTGAGTTGTTCTATAAAGTTTACTTGTATGTACTCAGCTCAAAGTATTGTTGAATACATATGTCCTTAAAACACACCATCATATATTTTAAACACTGTAATAATCTGTCGAGTAGGGGGAAGTGAAAAGTTATTAAACAATGACAATTTGTTGATACCAAAAACAAAGTAGTAACGAAAACACCACTGTCGTTACCTAGTACCTGCTGGTCGTGTAGGGGCAAGCACATGCGGCAGCTTTATTGGATCTGGCATGGAAGCAGACCTTCCATGCCAGATCCAATAGATCCTGGTGTATGAAGTCCGATTCAGGGTAGCATTGAGCAAAATAATTATGTTAAGCAGAGAATGTCTTCGGCATTAATTCCACCATTGTACATTTTTTGTGCATATTAAATATAAATATACATAATATATTTCAGTTACGTTTTCAAAACAGCCTATTAATCTAAAACCAAACTTTGACACCATAGCAGTCTACCTATAATCAGACAGGCGGCGGTTATCACCTTCCACCAGACTGCTCGTTTACTCCTTATAAAGAATCATTACACACATACTAGTATATATATGTACAATCAAAAGTCTATATTTATTAAGAAAGTAAAATTATCATTGTTCAACAATTTCATTAAACTATAGTACATTACAATTACAGACGGAACCTATCAGCGCCTGGCGCTGACACAGGAATCTGGGACCATTGCATGACCTTCGACACCAATTGGACAGAAGTTCTGAATACATTGACTCCACCACCTTCCGGAACACCCCTGATAAAATGCCAAAATGGTTGGGAGTTTGAGTTCAAAGATATACCTTACGAGACTGTTGCAACTGAGGTAAGATTTGCAGGATTTATTGTTTTCTTATATCCATACTAATGTTACAAATGCGAAAGTCTGTCTGTTACCTCTTCACGCTTTAACAGCTGAACTAATTTAGATGAAATTTGGTATGGAGATAGTTTGATTCTTGATGAAGGACATAAGATTACCGCGATTACCATACGCGGACGAAGCCGCGGGCAAAAGCTAGTATTAATTATGGCTATGGATAATCTATACTAATATTATAAAGCTGAAGAGTATGTTTGTTTCTTTGATTGAATGCGATAATTTCAGTCATTGGTTTGAACTGCTCGTTCGAATTTAAAAAATCTTTTAGTGTTGGATAGGCGGTTCATCGAAGAAGGCAATTTAACACCACGCTATGACTACACGCACGAAGTTGAACGAATCAGCTAGCAATAAAATATGTACTAAAGTGGGAATATAAAATAAACCAGTACTTGGACAATTGCTTAAAAACACGTTCCAAACAATACTTTTTTTTTAAATAACCTACAATCGTTTAGAGAGCGTTGTACCTTGAACCGTTACCTTGAATTAGCAACCGATATCTTTTGTGACCTCTCAAAGGCATTTGTCTGCGTAACTCGGAACGTTGCTACTTAGTCTTGATCATATCTGTTTGATAAAATCTTACTTTAGGGCTACACAACAGCATATTCAGATAAACAGTCATTAGGATAAAAATTTGAAAATGGGAGTTTCTCAGGGGTCGATATTAGGTCCTCGTCTATTTCCTTCTTTACCCATATCTACTTTAATGATATTCCTCATCTAGATAAGAAAATTAAAATAGTATTAACTTCTGATAAAACATTATTAGTTTTTAAGCGGATAGCCAAACTAAAAAGTTTTACTATGCAAATCATATTTTTCATCTAGTTTATGATTGATTTATTGACAAAAACTAGGACGAAACCTCAACCGATAAACATTTAAATTCTGTGAACGGTTATTTTTCTATTTTTTATTTTTCTAATAATACTTTTCTTATGAATAACGCTAGATTAGAGATTAAAATGAGGCCTTACTTAACATAAATATCAAAGATTTTAGTTGCTGACTTGCTTGACTTTGAATTTTGTGTGCGACTGTGCGAAAATGTATTTACTAGTGTTAAAAAGCCGAGTTCTAGGCACTACATAACTGATAAGTAAGCGATCAAACTTACTACTACATATTCCATGTAACGTCATACACATTAGAAGTTTGCGTCTAGACTCCAGGCTTAATAAGTTATATTCTGCAAGAAGGTCTTGATAGGGTAATTTTGAGTGGTGAAATTTGTAGTGTATGGTTCTCAAAACCTTCTTTTGAACCATCTCAAATCGAGTTCCATACATGTCATAAATAGGATACCAAATTGGGACCGCATGGTCAAGTTGAGATCTTATAAGAGTAGTAAAGTAGACGGTAGCTTGAAATCTTTGGAAGATCTCATAACAAAGCCATACATTTGAAAAGATTTACTAATAATATTGTGTATATGTAGATGTAGATATAGTTTTGAGTCAATGGTAACACTAAAGTCACGAATAAAGTCAACCTCTTGTAAAGGAATGTCGTGTAAAGTGTAATTGTGTATTATGATGTTCTTCTTTTCTTTTCTGTATATGTTTGCTTTACATTTGGGGATGCTGAGGTGTAGTTTATTACGAAAACAATATAGTGAAAGTTGGTTTAGGGTTTCACTCTTGTAGACTATGGTACTCCTTGTTAATTTTGATGTCATCAGCACACATTAATAAGTGTGAGTTAGTAAAACAATGTTCAATATCATTGACGAACAAAATAAAAAAGAGAGGGCCCAGAATTGATCCCTGCGGCACCCCGAAAGTGACGGTTATAAAGTCAGATTCGAAGTGATCGATTACTACTTTTTGAGTCCTATTGTGCAAGATACAAGATCCTAAAATTGAAGATGTGAACCAGCGTAGTAAGTTGCCACGAATACCTTTGAGTGCAGTTTTATCTAGAAGCAATGTGTAATCTACCTTGTCAAAAGCCTTCTGGAAATCGGTGTATACAGCGTCAACTAACTAACTAACTAACTTTATCATCCATATTTTTGACCAAATAGGTGGTGCATAGCATGACTAGAATAGCAACCATGCTGTTCAGGTATAATAATATTATGGATGTATGGATATAATTCACTGTGAATAAGACTCTCTAAAAGCCTTGACATGGTAGATAAAATAGAAACGGGACAATAATTAGGAATCTTATTTTCGCCACTTTTATAAACCGGTGTTATGAAAGAGCGTTTCCAAATTTCAGGAAATATACCTTCGCGTAAGCATATGTTGAAAATAATAGCGAGAGGATACACTCACTATATTCAGCTGTTCTTTTCATAAAAATTGGAGTTCATGTTTTTAATCGCTATTAATATGCTGGTAGGGTAAGTTATGCGCGAACATGGTAGGTGCTTCCCAGAGTTCAGGCTCAAGGGTTCATATTGCGGTAGGGTCCTTTGTGTATTCATTATCGAGATACATATTTGTGAAGATATTCACTTTACCTTTCCTTTTCGAGATGTACGTTCAAAAATGTTTTATGTTAAGTGGAATACTATCCTTGACCGAATTTAAATAACGTATGAAACATTTGTTAGACTCGATTTTGAAGTGATCAAGGTAGAATGAAAATGAATTCGTAGTCTGAGGTAATACTTATTTTTTCCACTTCTTCCAAACCCGTTTTTTTTTTAATAATACGAATGAGGGCGGGCGTAAACCAAGAAGGCAACTGTGAATTCCGTGGTCGACACAAGGTTATCTATGATTTTATACACCGTGGTACCAGATTTATGACAAGGTTTGAATCACAGATAAAACCAGGTCAATATAAGCTAGTTAAAATTAAAAAATTAATATAGGTACATACATACAAATTTAGAAAAAAATAAATACAATAAAGTAATGCCAATTTGGAGCACCATTGAGTACACAGGTCACTTACCTATAGACGACGTTACATTACGTTACAACATTACATTCTTATCACTAATCAGTTACTTCACTTGCTTTGTATTTAAAATTACTACATCAATTTTTAAAAATATGAATACCACTCGCAACAATTTTTATTTACTAAAAAAAAATAGATCAATATTTACTTAAAATTTTATTTCATAAAATAGAGTAGAATAAACTTTATTGTACACCAGTTTAGTACATCGTACATACAATAGTAATCAAATTAATGTAAATCTAATTTTAAAAAATAGGTTCTCAATATGTTCACATCAATGCATTAATTATCCTCGATCTTAGGTCTTCTATTGAAGTGACGTCTGGCGTACACTTCATTTTTCACACATCTACACAAAAAACGTCTAAAGGCGTGAGATCTGGTGATCTAGGTAGACATCGTGTAGGCCCATTAGCGTTATATCCACTGTTCAACAAACATGTTATTAAGACGCTCCCTGGCAGCCACAACAAAATTTCGGCTGTCTGTAGGACATACAAGAGTGGTTCCATATCTCTCACGGCATGTCCGTAGAGATAAAAAAGCGTTTTGATGGTATTTCCCATTATTAAGACCACATCAATATACTCCGCGGCTGTAAAGGTCACTCGCGGTATTATAAATGTTAATATCGATAAATCAATATAATTAAAATACTAGTAAAAAACCTAGTTTCACAAACACACACTCCACAAGAAAACTAATATTGTTACTTTAAAAAAAAAACAGCGGGATTCGTTGCAATACAACACAAAGTCTTGCACCAACGGACTGACTGACACTACTCTACTTTCTAGAACCCGGAAGTCTTCGAATATAATGAATTTGCCCGTAGGAATCATTACGTACTGTAAATAAAACATTTAATATAAACAATATAATTTAAGCAGCCTAATAATATTAAAATACTTGTTTATTAGCATATTTTGTTTTATAATCATGTACAAAAAAGAGCGCAATTACGCTGAATAATAATAATAGGTTGGTAGCGATGATCCTGATGACTCAGTAACCAATTACATTCTATTTTATCTTCGCCGACACTAACGAACACAAGTTTATGAATCTTGAACACAGTATTATCTTCCGTATGCCATTGCAATATGTTAGATTTTACTTTGAAGAAATTCTTTTTTTTTTAATTATTCATTATTTTGTAACTTGTGCGGTAACGTTTGTATAGCGACAACGACAAGGTCATTGACACTTAGTACTTTAGCTATGCGTAAACATATGGTGTTGTAAATTACGAAACACAAAAATCAGTCCCTTGGCTAAACTACAGTATATATTTCGTTCATATTATGTGGCTTAAATATTTGTAAATTAATGAGATGGTCTAACGTATTTGTGGGATGTATATATGAGTATAACTGGGCGTGTGAGCTTGGTGGTATATATGTCACGCAATAAATAAATTATTTCCTTATAATTTGAAAATATTTTATTTTATTTTTTTGAGAAAATGATTTATTTATTTTTCTTTGATATCACCACTGATGAGCCACTGCCATTCCATCGCCACTGTAAAGATACTGAGTTAGTGTAGACTACCGCTATTTATACCGATGCCAATGGCCACTCGATGGCATCTCAATAGCGTGTCAGTGGTATGACAGTGGGTTGGCGTAAACATAAAATAGCAGAATTGACGCCCAGCTTACCAGTGGCATCATGATCACGTCTAAATACCAGGTAACGATCGTCAATAAACTGGCTTTCAGAAACACTCGCAGTCCCTTACGTCTCATTCTTAATTATTATGTCATATGAAAATCAAATAATTATTCATTATTAAGTATTGTAATTTTGTGCGCAATTCTCGTCTGTTTTAATAGTAAAATTACAAATAAATTTTATCCATAAGTAAAACTTAAAATGCAGACAAAAAGAAATGCAGTACTAAGATTGAAAAGAGACCTGGAGGTCGAAATTAGGTATACTTAAGTAACGACAATGACACCGACATTATATCCTCGTTAAAAGGAAATGCACCAGTGTCATGCGTTGGGTAC